TAAAAATAAACTCAAATAGTCCCGGTATTTTCCGAAATTGTTTATACAGATTATTATTTTGCCCGGGTATCGAGAGTTCCGAATCGCAAAAATATCGTGCAGCGTCGAGTTTTGACAACTTTCTGGGTTCGAATATCCCATTGCTCGTCGAAACGATGCGCGCGAATCGACGCACGAGGAAACGAGAAGCTCGACGAACGAACGAGGACACAGGAAGCAAGATACGCGACACAGCGAGGAACTGAAGCTGAGGTACGATTGGAAAAACGAAGGAGCGAAAAGAGGAGAGAGTAATGGTTAGAAAGGGTAGGTGGAAAGAAAAGAAGAAAAGAGACGAGAGCTCCTTTCTTTAAAGCGAGGGTTACTTTAAGGATCGTTCGAGAATCGGTAGTCTCTCCACCAATGTTTTATTTTATCCTCTCCGCTCCATAAGATCGCATTCTTTACGACCCATTAGACGAATTCATTACCAGACCCAGGCAATAGGTAGGTGAGGTCCGTAAGCCCTCTATCCTTCCTCTTCCTTTCCCCCCTTCTTCGCTCGGCTCTGTTTCCATCTGGTTCGCCCGCGTTTGTTTTTCGCGTCAGACAGCGCTTCTTCCAATGTGTCGCGAGTCCTGCGACGGAATTCGACGATACGACGAGCTATGAGTGAAAAGAAAGACAGATACGTCCGGAATGCGAGTATATATACGTGGAGAACGTAACGTGGAAAAGTTGAAACAAACGTGTACAAAGTAGATAAGTAGAATGAAAATTTGATCGATCGAATTCATTGGGATATTCCCTATCGAATACGAATTTTGGGGGAACCGAAAGAGATCTGTGGCCCAAAATTGAGAGTTTGTATCAGAGGAATAACATGTGCAAGGAGGTGGCACGAGAAATTCTTTCGTCAATCGGTTGTCCCGACACGCTGCTTTTTTTTCTTTTTAATTTTTTAATGCAGATTTTTCTGGATCCATTTGGAAATTTGTGAAAGGCGAATTTTATTACGAGTAATAACCATTTTCGTTTGTGGGAAGAAAGACTTGGAAATAGCTTGATGCACCGAACCGACATAACCGGAAACAATCGAGCACCGGACCGATACGACTGCGTAAATGAATTTGATTTACTGCAAATTCGTGGGAAGCGATAGTTTCTTATAGACAATTTGTAGGCAGAATTTTATATTTTAATGGAAAATATAGTCTTTCTTTAGGATTTTGTGATCCGTACTTCATATGGTATCCAGTGAAACGAGAAATAGTATGACAGTTAGTATATAACAGTTATGGCATATAGGGAAGGACGCATGGGATGTAGATGTACGAGTAAAGAAAACTTAGACGAGAATTTACTTTATAACATATATATTTATTTGAGCTTTAATTGCATTTTAAAATACAACCGAAATAATTAAATAATGACAAATCTGGTAAAATGGTTTCAAGAGTCGCGTATACATGATGCATATCTTTGTGGTTGCGCATTTGTAAGTAGGTAGGTACTTTTCGAGCGTATTTTTCGTACGGTTGGCTATTTCTCGTATTCGTTTCTCGTATCCGCGAGTGCGTACGCGCCGCGTTCGTTTTTTTCCGCGCGTATGATGCCGCGTATCGCATCCACGTAGACCACGTTCTTCTTTTTTCTCCTATACCCGCCACATTCTCTCAGCAGTCGTATATAATTACAATAATAATATTAATATTATCGTTATATCGATAAATACTTTTAAAGTCCGCGATGGAAGAATTAGAGTTTACAAGAAATACGTATACAAGTGTGTTCCGCTCCAAAATTGCGCTTTTAACTCGTCCTCGAACGCGCGCAATCATCGTCCCTTCGGCTTACTCTTTCCCGCTTTCTTTTTTGTTTTACTCTTCCTTCATCTTTGCGTTCTCGCGTTTCACACGTTATTCCATATTCTCGCTCGCGCGATCATACTCGTCCGGATTTCGATTCCTCTCTCGCGGTGTCGCTTTTGCCCGCTTCGCGGCGTCAGCCACTTTTACTCTCGTTTCCCTTTCGTTCCTACTTTACCAGTTCTCGAATGCACGCAAGCAAGCAAGCAAGCAAGCACGCACGCACGCACACACGCACACACGCACGCACGCAGGCAGAAAACGATTCGCCAGAGAACGCGTTGGTCGCGCGCCGTTTTTCCACTCAGCCGAGAGACGATGGAGTCCCGGCGTGTTGGTAGCCGTTCGAAATGTTTCTTTTTTTTTTCTTTTTCGCTGCGTTTCCCCCTTCGTTAATTGTATAGAGAATAATCGTAATCGTAATCAATATACACGGTATTCGCGATAATCCGAGCGATAGTAATGACAATATTTTACACTTAAAACGTCGCGTCGACTCGCACGGCGCAATAAATATTATTTGAACAAAGAAAATTTACAATGGTCTACTCGTACGCTACGAGCGAAGGAAAACGATAACGTTCGAGGAGGCCGCGTCGCGCGCGCTCGACTCGCCGCGCACGTGTGCTTCGAGTATAACTGCGAGCCTCGCTATTGCACCGTGTTCTCGTTGCTCTCGATGCTCCTTTTATGCCGCTTTTCTCTCACTCTGCAATCGCCGTCATCGTCGTCGTCGTAATCGTCAGCCGGTTCGCTTTGCCGAAAACCCGTTGACTTTTTTGGACGAGGTCCGAATCCCGAACGCGATCTCACCGGTTTCGTAGTTCTAAGTATCAACAAAGAGATTCCTATACAAGGGCGGACCCTAGCCTAGCCTATGCGCTAATCAACTACGCTCTTATGTTCTAGAGGTATACATGCTGATCTGACCTTACGACAGCTGTGTGACAGGTAAGCCTTGCCGTCCTACACCTTGGAAAATTTTAGTCGCTATCCTCTCTGCCTTTGCTGCTCTTTTCTCCGCTTGCACTCGTTTTCGTCGTTCGTTTATTCACTACCACGCGCATTCTCCCTTTCGTACGCAGAAACACACGCACACACATACACACACGCACACGTACACACGTGTAGACACACGCTCGTTCAAGCATACAAATTATCTCTGTCGATCGCACGATCTTTCGCATCGCATCGCTATCTTTCTCAACGCCAGTCGTAAATGTCCTTAAGTATTTATAAAATCACAAACTTTGTCGCTCGCCGAGCCCCTTGACTCAGCAGTGCCGCGAGATATGGTGGCATCACAATTTAATCAACGCACGTTCGATATCTGCCTCCTCCCTCTGTGTTCGTTGCGCGATTCGATTATCCGGTGACGAGTTGGTTCGATTCGATTTGAACGGGCGAAAAGGAGCGATAGGTATAAAGAGGGGAATGGCGAACAGAGGGTGGAAAGCGGAGTAAGGGAGAGGACGAGGGAAAGACGAGAGACGAGAGACGAGGCGGTAGGAAACAGCGGAGACCGGATAATGGAATCGCGAGCGAAAAAGGATGGATGTCCCGAGGCGGAGGTTTCGAAGGAGGTGAAATGGTGTTGCAATCGCGTCGCTAGTTATATAGTCATTACAGTATAGATACACTTATGTACAAGTGGCACCGCTACTTACGGGGCTCGGACTATACGTACTTGCTGGACAACTGCTTGGCCAGCTCCGTATACTTGAGAAATTTGGAGTGCGGACTCT